CCGCACGCACATAACAAACACCACGCATTTAGCCTTGAGAATATTACTACCACGGATACAGCTACGTACCTCCAAGACGTGAATAGCCCGCACCCAAAGCCGTCTTTTACTTCACTCCGGATTCGGAATGGACACCCACTCATAGAGTTTGTCATTTATGGAGGCATACGTTCCGTTCTTGCGTACTCGAATGCTCTCTCTCTCTCTCTCTCTCTCTCTCTCTCTCTCTATATACTATATATATATATATATATATATATATATATATATATATATATATATATGTGTGTGTGTGTGTGTGTGTGTGTGTGTGTGTGTGTGTGTGTGTGTGTGTGTGTGTGTCTGTCTATCTATTATTTATTTCTCTTCTCTCTCTCTCTCTCTCTCTTCTCTCTCTCTCTCTCTCTCTCTCTCTCTATATATATATATATATATATATATATATATATATATATATATATATATATATATAAAACACACACACACACACCACACACACACACACACACACACACACACACACACACACACACACACACACATATATATTATATATTATATATATATATATATATATATATATATATATATATATATATATATATATATATATATATATGGCTGTTGAGAGCATGCAGTTTTTAAGCAGGTCCAGAATGTGAAGAAATGTAGCATTTATCACGCAAAAAAGCTGTTTAAGAAGTCATAATTCTGTTCGTGGGTGCGTGACCACACGATATCTTTGTTGAAATTATATTTATTTGTTTTTTGTTGTTGATTCACTGCTCGGAGGTTTATACTTTCGGGATAGAGGAATTGCTCTTGATTCGTTTATAGGTTTGACATGCACAAACGCATACACACACTTGCACACCACACACAGACACACAGACAACAACACACACACACACCACACACAACACACACAACACACACACACACACATACACATATTATATAATATATATATATATATATATTTGTATATATACATATATATATACACTCATACATAAACACATACGTATGTAGATGTATATGTATGTATATACATGTACACACACAACACACACACACACACACACACACACACACACACATATGAATATAATATATATATATATATATATATATATATATATATATAATATATATATATATATATATATATATATATATATATATATATATATGTACATATACATATACATATATTGATAGATAGATAGATATAGATTTAGATATATAAAAATGTGTGTGCACATACTACTGCATGCATATACATTTGAACATACATAGACACACATACGCACATAGACATGCACGTCCATTTTCATAAAGCGAAGTAAAATAAATCAATGGATAATTCAGGTTCTGAGTTCAAGTATCCATTTTGGTTTATGCTTCGTCTGATGAGGATTTGTGTTGATTTCGAAACGTCATGATTGTTTTTTTTTTGTATTGTTTTTTTATTTGTTTAATTGTGTGTTGTTTGTTTGTTTTTTGGCTGCGTTTTGTTGTGTCTCTATACAGATCATACTGCATGTTTGTTTTTGTTCGCAAATATAGAGACAAATACACTGTATAGTCTATTTTTGTTCAAGTACATCCAAATTTAAATGTTTAATTTCATTTTTTTTCAGACATTTACAAATACTGATATAATATACGATTACCATTTTTGTTCACACAGTTACAGAAATAGATATATCATATAATTTCCATTTTTGTTCACACTGAACTAAACAATTTACATTTTTGTTTACACACAAAAGCCAAGCATAGGTCAACCTCGCATCTTCAAATAAGCATATCTCAAACAAGCATATAAAACCAAACATAGGTCAAATAAGCATATGTCAATCAAGCCTAGGTCAACCAACCATAGGTCACCCAACCATAGGTCACCCAACCATAGGTCAACCAACCATAGGTCACCCAACCATAGGTCAACCAAGCATAAGTCAAACAAGCATATGTCAGTTAAGCATAGGTCAAATAAGCATGTCAAATAAGCATATGTCAACCAAGCCTAGGTCAACCCAACCACAGGTCACCCAACCATAGGTCGACCAAGCATAGGTCACCCAACCATAGGTCACCCAACCATAGGTCAACCAAGCATATGTCAAACAAGCATAGGTCAACCAAGCATAGGACAAATAAGCATATTTCAATCAAGCATATGTCACCCAACCCATATCACCCAACCCATGTCAACCAACAATAGCTCACCCAACCCATGTCAACCCAACCACAGGTCACCCAACCATAGGTCAACCAAGCATATGTCATTCAAGTATAGGTCACCCAACCCATGTCAACCCAACGCATGTCAACCCCGCCTCTCCCTGCAGCCTGCGCGTTGACCCCGGCTGGCGCTGGCACTGGACTCTACATGGGACCTTACTTCCCCTCGCCGCAGCCCAGGAACATCACGGTGCACCAGGACACCGTGGCGTACCTGCCGTGCACCGTCAGTCAGCTGGGGGATAAGTCGGTAAGTGGCGCTGTGGTTTGATCGCTGGTTTTCTTATTATTCTTTTTCTTTTTTTCGTTCTTTTTCGCTTTCTTTTTTTCGTTTTTTCGATATTCTTTTTCTTTTTTCTTATTTTTCTTTTTTTTCTTTTTTTCTTTTTTTTCTTTTTCTTTTTTTCTTTTTTTTTTTCTTTTTTCTTTTCTTTTCTTTTCTTTTTCTTTTTTTCTTTTTTTTTTTTTCTTTTCTTTTTTTCCCTCTTCTTTTCCTCTTCTTTCTTTGTTTCTTTTTTTACTTTGAGATTTTTCTTAGTTTATGGTTTGTTTATTTGTCTTTAAAGAGGGTATTTATTTTAATTTTCCTTTGTGGTTGCTTTATTGGATTTGTATCATTCCTCTTTGCAATTTTATCTTTCTCGGAGGTTTAGTGTTAAAAATGCTTTATCAATTATATACAAATTCCCCTTACGCTTCCCTCATCAGTTTTTATCATTTACCTCTTACGAAAAACATTACCTCCTTCAATTACCTAGTTTACGCCTTTAGTTTATAGATGTTTTTTTATTAATTATTTACTACACACATGAGGGTATGCGTGTTCAAAGGTTTCCTCAGACAATTCGCCCGTCTGTACGTTAATCGAAGGTTTTGTTAATTCAAACTTTCATCTATAACATAAGCAGCGATGTTGTATTCATGCACGTTCTCTCATGACGGCGGTGCATTAACGTGAGCTTGGCGAGTCTTATAGATAAAAGTTTAAATTAAGAAAATACTTCATATAGTTTTTGTTATTTCTTTGTACTTTGGCTTCTGTGTTTGGCTTCATTGCTTTCTAATTGGTTATATATTTGTGATTTGTCTTGATTTGTTATTTTTTAATGAAAATGCTTTTTTTGTTTTTATTCCTATGTTACTTTTCTCTATATTGGTCATTTATTTATTGGATTTTCCTTTGTCTATCATCATTTTTCTGGTTTTCACCTTCCTATGGTATTTTCATATGCTTTTTTTGGTATTCTGTCTGAGAGAATGCTTCTGCGCATATGACCATAGTAAGCTTCATGACATTTCAGTCCCGATAGCATGTCATGTCTGTTCATGTCTGGGTCATGTTATCGCCTGTAGATCAAACAGACAGACATCAAATGGCTGACAGTTTTAAGACTACAGATTTTTTTTTTCGAATTTATATGCTCTGAGAACCGGAATACCTAGCTCGTATTTTTTTGACGTTCGCTTTTCAGTAAACTTTTCACGTGATTCTAATCTTGCTGTATGATAAGATCAGCGTAAATGAGACGGTGTCTTTGATATCTCTCCATAACAAGGTTGTTTGATGTTGAATGAGGTACCATGATGTGCGAGTATGTGTGTGTGTGTGAAAGGGAGAGATAGCAGAGAGAGAGAGGAGAGAGAGAGAGAGAGAGAGAGAGAGAGAGAGAGAGAGAGAGAGAGAGAGAGAGAGAGAGAGAGAGAGAGAGAGAGAGAGAGAAAGAGAGGGGGAGGGAGAGAGAGAGAGAGAGAGAGAGAGAGAGAGGTGGGAGAGAGAGAGAAGAGGGGGGGAAGGAAAGAGGGGGAGAAGGGAAAAGGGAGAGAGAGAGAGGAAAGAGAGAGAGAGAGAGAGAGAAGAGGGGGGAGAGAAGGGGGGGGAAGAAAGAGAGTGGGAGAGGGGGAAGAGAGAGAAGTGAGAGAGAGAGAGAGAGAGAGAGAGAGAGAGAGAGAGAGAGAGAGAGAAGAGAGAGAGAGAGAGAGAGAGAGAGAGAGAGAGAGAGAGAGAGGGAGGTAGGGAGGGAGGGAAAGGGAGAGAGAGATAGAGACCGAGGGATAGATTGATGAGAGAGAGAATGAGAAAGAGAGAGAGAGAAGATAGAGAGATAGAGAGTAAAATGTGTATGGATATGTATATGAGAGAAATAGGGGGAGGAAGAGAGAGCAAAACGTGTATGTGTGTTTGACAGAGAGAGAGTGAGAGAGACAGAGACAGAGAAAGAATAAAAATGTGTAAGTTTTGCGCTCGCGTGAGAGAGAGAGCGAGAGAAGAGAGAGAGAGAGAAGAGAGAGAGAGAGAGAAGAGAGAGAAGAGAGAGAGAGAGAGAGAGAGAGAGAGAGAGAGAGAGAGAGAGAGAGAGAAGAGAGAGAGAGAGAAAGAGAGAGAGAGAGAGAGAGAGCCTGCAAGTGAACAAATAAAATAACAAAAATGGCGAATACATACAACAAAATGGAGAAAGAAGATGAATGATAAAGCAGGACATATGAAAATACCATAGGAAGGTGAAAACAAGAAAAACAATGACCACATATAAAGGAAAATACAATAAATAAATGATCCAGACAGGGAAAAGTAACATAGGAATAAAATAGAATAAAATAAAATAACATTTTCTTTAAAAATAACAAATCAAGAAAAATCACAAATATATAACCAAAACGAAATGCAAACAAGAAAGTAGATAAATAAAGAAATAGCAAATATTCATATATAGGAACATAGAAATTGCAAAAAGAAAGGAGAATAACAAAGACATTCCAAAAGAAATATATTTAACAAATAAACTGCAAAAAATATCAGAATAACAAAGAAAATGTTAAAAAGGAAGTAAAATGAATAACAAACAAAATGTTAAAAAGAAAGTAAAATAAATAACAAACAATTTTTCAAACGAAAGAAGAAAACAAAGAAATGCAAAAAAGGAAAGAAAAATAACAAAGAAACTTCCCCAAAACCAAGTTGAAAAAAATCAACAAATGGAATAAAAAACAAACAAATAATCTCAGAGCAAGAGAAGGAAACAAAAGTCTTCACCGGTCACTCCTCCCTTTGTCCTCAGTCCTTTCATACATAAAAAATCATATTCCGGGACTTAAATGGAGGACAGAAAGGCAAGATGTGTCTCTGCATTAACGATCATCTTCACTCGCTTTTACACTTCTTTTGTTCCCACATTTTTCAGGGAGGTTTTAATCATTTTTCCCCTCCTTTATACTCCACGTTGTTCCTTCTCCTCTTCTCTGCCTTTATCTACATCATACGCGTCATTATGGTTATTACTATCATCATCGCTATTATCTTTTATTGCCGTCATCATCGCCATCACGGTTATCATCGGCATTATCATCTTCTCGAGTGTCGGAAGCATCTTTTTCATTATCAATATCTACTAACAAACAGCTGGTGCTCCTGTTGTGATAACTTTCCAACTTTATTGTAATTTCACAGTCAGTTGACACCAGTATCTCTCTTATCATCATCTCCATTGTTATCGGTGATATCTCAGTCACTTACTCTGATGCCACAACTCCGTCACCCTTCTCATTTTGGACAATATTATCACCTTTCTATTATTACTAACGTAGTCTTCATATCCAGTCTCTCCTATCACCATTGTTTATACCATTCCCCTGAGAACCCCATTATCGCGATAAAATATCACTAGATTTACAAAAACGACCCCAGGACACATTATCACAGCAAAAAACCGATCCCCAGATCCCATTATCACTACAGAATACCCATTACCTTTTACAGAAAAAAGGACTTGGCTTCAAACGAGTCATCTCGTGTCATCCTTCACCCTTCTTCTCTCTCTCTCTCTCTCTTTCTGTCCTCTCTTCTCTTTTCTCTTTCTCTCTCTCTCTTTTTCTCTCTCTCTGTCTCTCACTCTCTCTCTTTCACTCTCTCTCTCTCTCTCTCCTCCCTCCTCCCTCCTCCCTCCTCCCTCCCTCCCTCCCTCCTTCCCACTATCTCTCTTGTCTCTATCTCCCTTTCAGTCTCCCCTCCCCACCCTTCTCTCTCTCTCTCTCTCTCTCTCTCTCTCTCTCTCTCTCTCTCTCTTCTCTCTCCTCTCTCTCTCTCTCTCTCTCTCTCTCTCTATCTCTCTCTCTCCTCTCTCTCTCTCTCTCTCTCTCTCTCTCTCTCTCTCTCTTCTCTCTCTCTCTCTCTCTCTTCTCTCTCTCTCTCTCTCTCTCTCTCTCCCTCTCCTCTCTTTCTCTCTCTCTCTTCCTCTCTCCCTCTCCCTCTCCCTCTCCCTCTCCTCTCCTCTCCCTCTCCCTCTCCCTCTCCCTCTCCTCTCCCTCTCCCTCTCCCCCTCCCTCTCTCTTCCTTCTCTCTCTCTCTCTCCTTCTTTCCCTTCACAACAATCGAAGTGACGAAGACTTTCATCTCCAATATCACAGCTCTGTTCCCCCTTTTGTCTTTCTCGAGAGGGAGGCTTTTATGCTGCCGTTTATCTCTGCAGGATTATGCACGGCTTCATTTCTCCGCAGCTTCCATTGTCAGGGGACCGGAACGAGACCCCTTCCATTGCCAGGTTCTGCGTTTCGAGTCGTCAGTCAGTCTGGCAGCCCGAGTTTCCCCCTCCCCCCCCTCCTTCGGCGTTCGCGTCCTGACAATGGCCCGTGCTTAGGATATGCGACGAAGTAGGGGATTTGTCCCTTTCCTCTCGTATGTGTATGGGTGAAGGAAAGGGGGGGGGGTCAGATATTCATGTGCGGTTATCCGTAAGCATATGTTCTTTGCCGTTTATTCAGAGCAATGCCTGGGTTTCTCTTCGTGGGGATTTTACATTGTGTTTTTGTTTTTGTTCTTCTTCTTGCCTTTGTTTTGTTTTTTCTTTTCTTTTCTTTTTTTTTTTTTTTTGGGGGGGGGTGTTTCCGTGCCTGAAACATTGTTTTATATCTTGTAATGCTGGGTTCCTCCTCGTCGGAATTTCACCTTTTTCTTTTTTTTCTTTTTTTCTTTTTCTTTTTCCCGTGCTTGAAACTATGTTTTATATCTCCTAAACGTTCCTCTTCCCGCTCCTCCCTCCTCCAATAAACTCCTCTGTGAGCGCCTCTTCCAGCTCTCTCAGAGTTCTCCGTTTCACATATAATCATTCTACATACCTCTTACATGTGTTGCTTTTATTCGGAATCCTCATCCCGAACATCTAACGCGCATTAACGACATGCCATAACATTTTCTTCACCTTAAGGCCCCATAATATAGCCTAATACTCCAGCCTAAGTGCAGATACGTTTTACCAG